TCAAGTTCAAGGGGGAAATTGGCCAATTAAAAAAGTTGAAGGGGGTAATTGGCTAAAATTCAAGTCTATGGGGGGAATTAGTAGCTGCATACAAGTTCAGGAGGCAAATCAACAAATACCTATAATTTAAAAGGGCATGTTGGTGTAGCGACCGGTATCAAACGCCTTTTCATTCAAAAACTTTTTTTTTTGTTCAAAAAATAGATAAGATGTTCGATTAGTCATCGATGGTGTCGATACAAATTTTCGCCGTCTTCAGTCTTGATGAAAATGCACCTACAAAACAATTAACATCTTTGATCAAGGGCCTAAGCCTCATGCGCCCACGAGGTGTTGGGGGAGGTTAGGCCAATGGATCTTCGATGCCTAAATCAGTTTATCTGATAAAGTAAAGTGTTTATGGCTTTTTAGGGGTAGCAAAAGCTTTTGAAATTTGGTAGAATATGAGGTATTTATAGGGGATTGGGTCAGCCATAGTGTTAGGATTTTATCCTACACATGGTGGCATCCTATTGACCAATGTTTATGAAGAAATATTCTCAAGATGTTAAATAGGAAATAATATTTTGAGATAATAGAGTAATTATCCCTAATTGATTTAAATTGGGATTACTTACTTTATTGCAGTCAATCTTCAATTGAGAATGTATTAAAGATAGGATTTTGGTAATTAATCATTATCTTTAATGCTTTGACTTTTTCTTGCTAAGGGCAGATGAGTTGTGGGTAGTTGGATTCAGCTACTGGGATCTTCAAGGATGTGAGCTGCGCGTGGGAGTATCTGAGAAGTCTGCCCAATTAATGAGGGCAATTTTGCATTTTTGGAGCAAAAATCCACGTGTCGCTTTCAAAAATTTTAGGATTATTTTTGGCTCCACAGATGGATTTCGAATCCACACTGGAATGTAAGGGCTTAAGGGGTGGTTTGGGAGTGAGGTGCTTAAAAAAAAAGCACCCATGAAAAAAAGCTGTGAGGGTTTTAGGTGTTTGGTAAATTGAAAAAAAAGACTTATTTTGGAAGCTGCTGTGAGAATAAGCTGAAATCAAAGGAAAAAGCTGAAGTTGCTATTTGCAGCTTTGGAAAGTTGGTTTTTTTTTTCAAAGCACATGGAGCTACAATGCCCCTTTAATGAAAAGACCCACTATCAGACTGCTTTTTTTTTTCAAAAGCACTTTTACAAAAAAGTTTATCAAACACTCTGCTGATTTATTTCACAGCCGCTTATTCTCACAGCACAACCGCTTATTTTCACAACAACTTTTTTTCAAAGCACAGCAATACCAAACCAGTCCTAATACTTTTTCATCACTATGATAAAAGGCTACTTGAGTGGAGTTGGAAATTTATTCTTTATTTGATTTGGTACTGTCCTTTGGTTTAAGTATACTTCCAACAAATTTGCCTGATCAGTATTACAAGACTTGGCTTCGAAGGCTAGCTCTAATGCAATTAGTGCATTCAGTCATGATGATGTCCCGCAAACTTTCCACAAGGATCACAGGAGCTAGCGTCAGTTACGCGTGAGCGCATCACAAACACACAGCCGTCAATATGCGTGACTGACGCCAAAATGGGTTCTTCAAAGAGTACAATTCATCATTCAGAAATCAACTCCATTTTCTTAGTCATCAGTAGACATTATTTTCTTCTCTGAATGGTTTGGTTTATAGTGATAATAAACCAAAATGCACACCTTGCACTGCATTCACCAAAATGCATCGTTGTCGCGTGACAACACCAACGAAAAAATATATCAAGAGCAAACTAAGTCACAAACTTTGTGATTGAGTTTAAAAATTCATCTCAAACTACAAAGCATTGATATATCGTTTAGGTCGCGTATCGCGTATCAAAAAAATAAATTTGATTAAGCACACACATTAAATCTTAAATGATTAAATCTAATCTATCCCAAAAAACTATTCGTTACTCTTAACCAAATGGGGTAAAACTAAAACACAATTTCAATGAAATCCTTGTTCCGAAATGAAATTTAAGCATCAAAATAATGTAGCTGAAATAATAAATAAATTAAAACAATTCAAAGCCAGGGATTGCCAAGAGACTACCTGGATGTTCATCGCCTTCTTGTTGGCCTCGAGCTGGCTTCCTAAATGAAACATCAACAAAAAAGGAAAACCCAATTGATCAGAAAGTTGAAAAATTGAAATAATCACACGCAGATATAAGACTTTACATGGTAAGCCAAAAAAAGTAAGTGTGATACCAATATATCGAACTCATGAGTTCAATATATTAAACTCACGAATATGATACAATATATTGAACACACCTTAATCTAGCAATAGTATTATAGATATCCAACTTAGGCGGCTTAATGCTTATATATTAGTATCACACTCTCTTTCGTAATAGGCAAGTTGGTGGTGCAGGTTTGAAGGTACCTTTCCCCGTGGAGGTGGGGATGAGGATTCCCCGTTTAAAAGAATTGATTATGCATGCGGTTATGGAGAAAAAAATCACCAATGGAGGCGGGAGACGGAGGTGGCACCCAAGTCCCGACCCTCCTCGTTGCCATCCCTAGCATTATTTAATGTGCCAACTCAAATTACAAAAAAATTCTACTATACACCGGATTAATCAATGTAATGGATGGTTTGATGTTCGTTTGGTTAAGGATTTAATGAATAAAAATCTTAACGGTTAAATATTTTGGTGAATTATACCTTGGTGCATATTAAAATTCCCTCAAAATATAGTGAAATGATGAAGTTCAAGTGAAGATGAGACAATGAAGTTGTCCGGTTCTGATTTCAATTAATTACCTTTAATGCGTGTCAAAATTAGAATCGGACAATTATGATCTCATCATCACTTCGATTTCAAGGAAGTATGAGCTAAGGAATGGGATTTTTGGCTATGGTCGGTGTGCACACCTTCTCTCATTGACCACCTTATATAATGATCATTCTGAGAGAAAGGGTTTAACAAACTTGTCATGTTACAATCGAATTATAGGGTCTAATACCAAACTCAACAGCCTCATGTAACTTCCTCATGTAAGGCATTCTCCAATCTTGGGTTAAAACTCAAATTTCCACTTCTGTTCCCCCCTTAAAACTCAACCAAACCCAAGGCTAAAATGTGGCATAAAACCTAAAACTCAAATGGAAGCCAGCCCAGAATTTAGCCCAAGATTAGTGGGGCTGACCCACCATATATGTATATTTTATTTAGTTTTATATTTATAAATTCATTGAATTCAACGGTAAAAAAAAATTAACGGTCCAAATTTAAATCTAACGGCTAAAATAATTTAAAAAAAAAATCTTTCATTTGTTTCATATTTTTTCATAGTATTTAACGATTTAAATCGGTATCGGTATCGATTAGTATTTAATATTTGTCTGATTAGGTTTTAAAATTTTTCAATTAATTAAGATATCTTACATAATTTTTTTTTTAAAAAAGTTACTTTAAAAGAATTAAATTAATTAGTCTTAAATTTTTTTTTTTAATTTCTTTAAGAAAAAAATTAGGGCTAAATTCATTTTATAATTAGGCCAGAAAAATTGGAGCAGAAAAATTATTTATGAGTTAAAACTTAAATTTTATGAGCTAAAAATTTTAGGTTTTAGGCTAATGTTGGAAATGGTCTAACCAATTGTTTTGAAGGGATTGGTTGATGTTTGACTGTTGGTGTGATGGGCTTTTTGATGCCATTGCGCTGTTTCCTTTTTGGGCTGTTCTTGCTGAATCTGGTAGTACTAGACTGTAATTACGCTTTTGACCCAAAAGTAAAATTGTGGCAATGGTCCTTAGTAATAGTTTCTTAACTAAAAATTGATTACTAGAGTCCCTTAACCTTTTAAAACGTGCAGTTATGATCTTTTTCTTTAATTCCGTTAGAACTTTCATCAAAATGAGTAACTTGCCATGCACATAAGGTTGAATTAAGGGGCAAATATGAAAAATCAAATGAGAAAAATTATAGCAAGGGTCGCTTAACTCCCTTAATTTTAATCAAATTGGACCAAAATTCCTCAATTTTAACCCAATTGTTAACACATAACTCTCGCATTTTGAATTTTTGTCCGAAATTTTGACGAAAATCGCAATTAAATTCAAATTGGGATATTGCTCCAATTTTTTCAATCGAGAAAGGCTCAACTTCTACACTGAACGACTTCTTCAAGCACACATTTTTTCTTGAAATTTTTGACGCGTTGACTTTTTTTTTTTTCTTCTAAAATCAATTGAATATTGAAATTGTTGAAAGGTTGAGTACTTATTTTCCTGAAAAAGATGTTGGGATTACTTCACAATTTATTTTGAATTAAGGAAATTTAATTTTTGCTGATTAATTGAGTTTGTGGTATGTTCTGCAAATTTTGGGTATTCAATTTTTTTGTAAAATTGATAGAAGGAAGAAGACGAGAAAGGCTCAACTTCTACACTGAACGAGGGACTGTTTCGTCGAATCGAGTTCTGATTGAAGCTTTCAGTCTCACCCAAGTCTACAGGTAGAAATTTCGAATAATTTGTCTGAAATTGAAATTGAGAATTACGCGTTTTGGGTATTTTTTTTTTCTTCTAAATTTCTTCTATTATATAATTCAATTCACTTTGCTTTTAAGTTGTTTGATGCATTTCATTCCGAGGGAAGCATTTCGTGTGTAAGCGGCTAATGGCTTTTGCTTTTGCCAATTTTACATTGATCAACCGGAGAAAATGATTGTAATATATGCTGTAGGCTTATTGGTTTTTCTGAGGTTTTTTTTTTTTTTTTTTTTCAACTGTGTTGATGAAATGTGATGATGTTAATTGGTTTTGGGTGCATTCATGTTCGTTTCGGTAATTTTTTTTGTTGATTTCTACATTGATCAACTTGGAGAAAAAGAAGATGAAGCTCTTGTAAGATAGCTGTGTGCACCTAAGTTTAGATTTGGGGATGCTTTAGGTCCAAATATAGATAACATTATCGCTTGTGTTGGCCTGGGGAAATACACACAGATGATAACTGCGTGTTAGCCTTTGCTCTTTAGTTCTAAATAGCGATAGAACTTGAAGATAACATAATATAATTCTGCCCGGAATAAAATTCACTCATGAGTACCACGAGAGCTTCAATTCTGTCTGTTGTGCATATCTTATGATGGAGAAATTAGGTTCAAGAATACTGTCTGTACATGAGATCCTTCTCGTCGATGAAATATTCTGTTCCTTTAATCTGATATTTTGTAACAAGTGTTTAGGATTGTTTCAGAACCATTCATTATGATTTGGGGTAAATCTTGTATACCCACCTGAAAAAGTCATGTTTTTCGTTGGCTACAAAGTTCCATGGATCTTTAATCTTACCTTTGTAACAGGGTTGACGTGACCTGATGTTTGAGATGCAAGTAGTCACATGCATAAGCAGAGTTTTTTTTATTCAATCATTTTGTCAATCCTTATGACTGTCACTCACTCTAAATTAGTGAACGAAGGTGAAGCGTCTTCTCTGATCCTGACTTGCACACCGTGCACCAATGTTATTACCTTCTCCTTTGCATTTCGTCTAATGGCGTTTATTTTGCTACTGCTCCAGTTGATGTGGAGAGGCATGCCAGAGACTTTATGGAAGCTGCCAAAAAGCTTCAACTGTACTTTATCGGTCTGCAACGTGAGGATCTGCCAACGAAGGCTGAACAACTAAGAAAGGTCATCTGAAGGCTGTGTTGTTTAGCTTGTCCTTGGACTACCTATCACTGTTTCCTTGATGTTGGTGCATTTTCATTTTTGCAGGAGATTGATGCAATGGAAGAGGAGTTGAGGATAAAGACCGAGATCATCAAGAAGCATGAAAGGTTGATCCAAGGGTGGAAAAAGGAGCTGAAAGACCAATTGGACAAGCACAACACTGAGCTTGAGAGGGTTTAGTTACTTGAGCAATACAATTGTAGTAATCTATGGGATTCTGTTTGTTGGTCGATCAATTTGTAGCGTCCGTAAAGATTCTGTGTGTTCTTTTTAAACATCCTTTGCAATTCAACTCTATCGTGCACAAACTACGATCAGTAAAGATTAAAAATGTTGATTCTACAACCCATTTTGTTGCCAATGGTTCTTGCTTTGCTTCTTATAAAGTTCAAGAGCTTTCAATGAACAGAAAATGAAAGTAACCGTAATATCTCCAAATCTTCCCTCGTTTTCTAGTTTTCGGCTTTAATCTGAGAAAACCGTAGCTTGCCTCTTTTCCTCCTGTTCAGCTTTAATCCAAGCGGCCTACGCAAATGATACAATAAGTACAAGAGTTGGAGATCATACCTTTTCACGTTCTAGTTTCGAAACATTTGGCCTCATGGAGTTTCCTAAGCTTAAACCACCCCATTGTTCTTGCAGTTCTCGGTCCCTTGATTTTTTATGAGTCACAAAGAATTTAATTTGGTCTTCTGGTTGCTGAGCAGCAGCTGCCTTCTCTCTTGGTCTCATGGAAGCTTAAACCTCCCCATTGTTCTTGCAGTCCTCTCTCCTTGTTTCTTTGCGATTTACCGAGTATCTAACTTGATCTTCTGGTTGCTGAGCAGCGCCATCCTTTTCTCTTTCGAGCCTTGATTTGTGTTTAACTAGAATCTGGTCAGAACCACATGCTTCGTCTGCACGTGAATGCAATTTTGCGTAACTTCTCTTCACTTCACTTGCTTGTTCCTCTGCACAGAACTTTATCTTCTCTTTCTCCAGTCTGGAAACATGTTTTACCAAAACTTTGTCCTATCCCTCGCACTGTGAATCACTGTTTCCCCCCCCTTTTCTTTTCGAGTGTACGATATTCATAATTGTTTCCCATTTCCAAGGCTTTCATTTTCTCCCTTTCCAACCTGTGCATTGGTTTGACAAAGATCTTGTCTGAGCCATCTTCAGTCGCTTTAGCTTCAGACGTCAAATTGAAGTGAGTTTGTTTCCACTGCACTAGATTTCACTTGTCCAACCTGCAATGAAGATCCAGTTCCATTTTGCTCCATCCTAGAATTCTCTTCAACATCCTTATTTAAATCGATATTTTGTTTCCCCACTGATCCTTTGTCAGAGCAAGAACTAGCGTTTTCCTTTGGTTGTGCAACCGAAGCAGATGATTCAACTTTCTTCTTCAACTAAGGGAACCTAACTCCTTCATGTGTGTCAGCTTGCCTTCTGTTCTTTGCTTCCTGGACTTCCTTCTCAAGTCTCGAGACACATTTCACTAAGAACTTATCAAGGCCAGGGAGTTCTGAGTCATTCTCTTTTTTGTGATTCAAGGCAGATGTTTTCACAAAGTTCTTCTTGGCCTCCTCAACTTCCTTTTCAAGCTTCGAAGAATGTTTATTCAGTGTACTTTCCAAGTCAGGGATGGCCTCAGACGATACTTTGTGTCCCTGTGAATTCTTTTGAAGCATCTCAAAATCTCCTCTTGAATTTTTCTTTGCCTCTTCGATCTGTCTCTTAAACTATGAACCACGCTTCAGAAGGATGCTTCCCAAGCCCGGAATGGTTTCTGAACTGACCTTCTCATCAACAGTTCTGTCAGAATTTTCTGCAGCTCCTTCCCTTGACTTGTTCCTTTTATCCTTGGCTTCTTGCACTTCGCTTTCAAGTTTAGTCATGTGCTTAACCAAAAACTTGTCTAGACTTGGGAGTTCTGATGCAGGTTGCTTCTTTCGAATCTCAGACTTCGCCCCTGCTATTCTTTGTGGAAGTGTCTCAGCGGTAGAGCCTGAATCATGCAGCTTGCCTTCTGCTAAGGCAGCATTTAAACTACAAGTAGCAATTATAGTGGCAAGAGAAGAGAGTTCATCTTCTTGCAAACATTGAAGTCTCTCGAGCATCATGTCCGCTATCTTTGCCATATTAAGTTTACCAAAAGACTGCCTTCTGTTTTTCCTCTGTCTCGCCTCTAAATCTGCCATTTTTTCTGATTCAAATCATTGGAAATGGTATTATCTTTCTGAGACACTGCTTTTAAGTTCTGATTCACATTCTGAAGTAAACTCAGGCGATTCATGAATATTTTCAACTGTATCGGCATCAGGGTTCTCGCTAATCTTCTGAAGCAGTTCTTTAAATTCATCTTTATCAAAAGATGGGCAGTTTCCGAGCCGTACTAGTGCAATCTTTACAGCTGCAGCTACTTCTTTATCAACCTCAAATGCAATCTCAAAAGATGCTGTGACCGTGTGAGTAGTAGACCCTCCGCCATTAACAATGGATGTTTCTATTTTACAGGGCTTCCGAGGACAATTTGGCTTGTCAAGTTGTCATACATGATAACTCCCACGGCAGTTACCTCTTCAAAAGCTTCAGCTTCAACTTTATCTACTTCCAACAGCTGCGCTTCAGCTTCTTTGCTTTGGATCCTGAAATGGAAAACACAAAAAGTTGTAAGTACGAAATTACCTCTTAAAAGTTCAAATACTCATGTCTACAATCCACCCAACAATCTCTTTGCTGCCTTAAGTATTCGACACCAAGATGCTTCCACCGACGCGGCTGCTTCTTTTGCTGCCATTTTCTCCCTTAGGACTTTTGAGTAATGTGGATTAGAATCGCTTAGAGTCTCGTGAAGAGTTAAATTCATCGCATCTACTTCCTGTGAAAAGCCGATAATTAGTAATCTGATTAACATGGAAGTTAATCCAGATAAAATGCAGAGTGTTTGTTAAAGAGAGAAGCGAAACCTGCAGCATTTTGATCTTCCTGTTGAGGTAGGAGTCCGCTTTTTTTCTCGGGAACCAGTTCAGTGGAGAGGTTCTACGATGAGAAGGCTTCTTAATTTGTGATGTGGATTTGTTAACAGAATTCAGGGTTGATAGGCTAGCCTCTTTCAAACTTCTAATCTGCAGTATTGAAAAAAATGAAGAAAAGAAGGATGTAAAGCTAAACGAAACGGAAACAACAGGACTTGGAACAAGATCGCTATTTGGTATCGGAAAAAAGACATAAGAACATCGAAATATAGACACACAAACACCAATTTGTAAGAGAGATTTACAAATAAATAAACAAATAAACACGTTCAGCATCACAAAAATGTAGAGAGATTTACCTGCACGGTAAATCATTTCATCTCTTCACTCTTCAGCCAGACAAATATTTACCTCTTTCTTTACAACATCCATTGTATGATTGTAATGATAAAGATATCTTACCAAGTGCAAGCCATATGAAATTAAGCAAATGATGGTTAGATTCCATAAATGTTGAATGAAAAAGGGATGCCAACTTGCATATCTTGTCCGAGCGAAGGTAGAAGATGGATTAGCCATGAAGAAATCATATCCCTCCCAATCCCCACACAAAGGTAGGATTAGGACGGAGAAGTTTTCTTCATGGCCAATCCAACCTTCACCTGAACAAAATATGCAAGTGCACATCCGTTTCTTCACAAAAGATTAAATGAATTTAGTGAATTATCCTGGCCAAGCCAATTGTAGACACATTGGAAATAGGGTATTCTTCTTGAACTCGCTACGTAGTTCAAACCCTCCCCCTCAAAAGTTCTTATGAATTTAGTATCACTTAACCTACCGTTTGTCAAAACATTTGATTTTCAGACACACTGAAACACGACTGAGATACAACATCTTACGGTTTTAAAAGGGTGCTGCATTGTAATTTTTAAATATAAAGGGTCAAATTATAGCGTTCAAAAGTATAAACATCTACCTTTGTGGTTTTTTTGGGTGGGATGATGGAAGATGAACATGATTCCTATGTCTTGCCAATATTTATAAGTAAACTAAAAATTTCGATTTTTCACAAACAACTCACGATTCAAAGTACCATTTATTTAGCTGTAAAGCTACACAAAAATCCTTCTACAAGTGACATGGTTTTCAAGGCATCCGGCAGTTCAAGCAGCACCCGATCATCGACCTGTATCCAAGACCAATTGTAGTGCTGCTGCAAGAACCCGGTTCATTGTCCAGCACTGACTACACTATGGACTGTCATAATCACCAGTTCCGGAAACAACTCTTTCAGAATGAAACAACTCTTAATCCATATCTTCTTGGTTTCTAATCCACTTTGTTGCAACCCACTTTTACCCTTTGCTTACAGGGCAGCTTCCGTGAAGAAATGTCTGCAATTTGTTTATACATTCGAGATGAGGAGAATAAACCACGAAAGGTAAGAGTGTGAGAAAGAAAGAGAACCAAAATGACCGTTCCAATTTTCAAGCCCTAAATAGTTGTTGATACGGACAACTTCCTCAAATAATACGTATGCCAAAGGAAATGGAAACATGTTTCCCATCCCACTTCACATCATTCACATCATTCACAAATGGAAAAAAGCATCAGAGATTTGATTTAAGATTAGTAATTTACCGGATCTATTGTCCCATTTGGAAACATGGAATAAAATAAAAGTCCATCCCCTTGCTTCGGCATAATTTTTAAACCGATGCATTTCCTGTAATCATAGCTCATACCCATCTCTGCACCATTCTGCGAATAACAGTCGTAGGATGAGTACCTGGAAATATACCACTTACATTTGAAAATAATAGAGTGTTAAAATTAACCAACCTCAATAAGGGAACACGGTTTCTCCACCTTCTTCAACATTAGACAGATACAACAAGAAGGAAGCAAACTGCAAAATTGAGTGTGATGGTGCAACAATTAAGTGTCAATGGTTTAGAAAGAAGCAACATCAATATCTACAGAAAGGTGAAACCACGTGCTAAAAAAATGGAAATTCTGCCTAACCTATAATCATATATTTGTTTCAAACAATTTGGTGTGACGCAACAAATATACTCCAATGATATAACTAGAAAAGTTTCCAATCGAAATACCATTTGATAATCTGTCATTATAAGTTCGTTCATCACCAGTGAAACAAAACAAGCCTCATTTTAAAATATGTACTGCAGAAGATGAACTACAAAAAAACCATAAGTTGACAAGCACAACTGATTTCTTCGGAAGTAAAATTGTTACCCATTATTGCCAATAAAAACTCATATTATGAACATGACATAACGTTCAAGTAAATTCATGAAGATTGCTTATTGGTATGCTACTATAGAGATTACTGTCCAGGTCCACAATTCTGATGACAAATCACTTGGTTCTTTTTTCATATATTCATTTATTTTATTTTTTTGGCTGGTGGGGGTCATTATTAGGTGCATAAACAAGCAAACAATCATATCAAAATATCAGGGATCTTCTAATTGGCAGGAACCGACAAAAAACCAGGGTGGAATATGATAGCACAGATCATAACCGAAAACATTAAGGAGATGCTCGTTAAGTATGTACTCTTTGGCTTTTCTGTTGGCCATATTCCGTTGGATTGAATGCATCATAATGAGAATCGTAGTTTTGGCCAATCTCATACCGCAAAACGTTGAATGCCTGCAATATGATGATACCGTCGCATTACTCAGATTAATTTAGAATTGTCCTGTAATGAAAGGTTAACATTATACAAAGTTTGTGAAAGTAGAAACATTATTAGATACACCATTTTCTCTTTGCAAAAAAGAAAATAACTGTTTTTTCTATAAAAAAAAAAATCCTAAAAGTAGCATTCAAACCTACATGAACAATGAAAACCATTTGCTTAATGGCTTTGAAATTCCAATTCATTCTTATGCATTACCCCAAAGAATACATAGTTAATAAAAAAATACCTCGCCATGGGTTCTTGGTAACATTGTTTCCCTGGCTATATTTTCCTCAATAATATCCAGGACTCCACTATCGTCTTCTGATGCGCTAATAAATGTGCCTGAAATATATCAAGTATAAACTGACAGTTAATGTAACAAGCTGAGAAAAGTTCTCTGTAGAGTACCTTAAAACTAGCATATGCAACATTGATCATCTCCAAAAAGTCCAACCAATGGTGATTTGTTGTGTTCTATGAGATAAAACCAATGCAACATCCAACACATAACTTGATGAAAGAAGGTATGAGAGTGTTACGATACAGAAGGTGAAGTGGCAAGGACCTTTCAGAAATCATCTTCCATAACTCGAAAAACTGTGTTTTTAAAATTCTAGGATGACAAACTCATATGGAAGAAAATGAATTAAGTAGACATTCTTTCAACCATTCCTCTCCATCAATTATAACTTAGAGTAAATGGGACCGCCCTGCTTATCGGGGCAAAATCGTTTTTGTCAACACACATCATGAGCTCCCAGATACTCAAATCTAAAGATTATAATTTTTTAATGGTAAAGATGCTTAAGGATTGTGCAGCAATGGAGAAATAATTAAAGAGAAAGTTATTCTTCCCTACAGTCTTGTGATTACCAAATAGTAACTCATCCAACACCTTGAATTGGTCCCTCCCTCTCTTTTTCCCCACCTAAAATTCTCAATCATTATACCTATTCAAGTGCTCACCGTGTTGAGACGATAAACAACTCGAAAAACGAAAGAAAAAGATACCTTGTTCGAGCCCCCTTTGTGCTCTCGGCAGTCTCTCCCTTTCGCAATGCCAATGTGGACGGCCGGAGCTTCATCTTCGCCACTGCTCCGCAGTTGCAAATCTCGGAAAATACAGAGCGCGCGGTCTCCAACTCAAAACCTGCCCGATCCAACAAGTCACAAAAAACCCCAATTGATCGAATTAAGCAAAAATAGATATTACTGATCACCTGGAATGGAATCGACTGGATAAAGCTGTCTCCACTCTCCGGTGTCACCCTGCAGTATTGGACCGTGATCTTCGTCGTCTTCCGATTCCAGCGTTCCGGAGACAGGTCGAGAGCCGGAGAGGAAGAGAGGGACGGAGGGATGGGAGAGGAGGGTGGAGATGAATAAGCCGGCGAAGAAGAAGAGGGAGCGGACGAGGAAGACGGTGGGTAAGCCCAACTTTTCTCTGGACTTCTTTGCTTTCACTTTCATGGCGAAGTTTTAAATTTTGAGTAAATTGTACAAATGGTCCCTCAACTTTAATCAAATTGGAGCAATGGTCCCTTAACTAAAAATCCATTACCATTGGTCCCTTAACTTATCAAAATGTGTAGCTATAGTCCTTTTCATCAATTTTGTCAAAATTTTGTCAAAATAAGCTATGTTGGAATGACCATTTATATAATTAGGGTCCCTTAACTCATCAAAGTATATAATTATGGTTCTTTTCGTCAACTATGTCAAAAAATTTGTCAAAACGAGTTATATTGGAAGGACCATTGTTACAATTGAGTTAAAGTTAAAGGACCATTTCTCCACTTGAATTAAAGTTCAGGGACCAATGGTAATGGATTTTTAGTTGAGGGACCATAGCTGCACGTTTTGATAAGTTGAGGGACCAAAGGTAATGGATTTTTAGTTGAGGGACCATTGCTCCAATTTGATTAAAGTTGAGGGACCATTTGTACAATTTACTCCTAAATTTTTTTAGCTGGTTTGTTTGCTTTCTTCTGATTTTTTTTCAGTTCTTCGGCCTTCTTTATTTATTTTTGGCCTGAGGCTGTCCTGAGGTTTTCGCTCTGAGGTCATCTCTAATGGTGGTGAAATATAAAAACCCCAAAAAAAAGGGCTAATATTGTCTCATAATTTATTTTCAATAGATCACTTGGTTATAATTTAAATAGAGATCATTAGATGTCATTCAATACTACGATCTAATAGAGATGAGTTCAATTTCATTCGGTTCGATTTTTTGTTACAATTGAAACTGAACCGAAGTTTTGGTTCAGTTCGATTTAATTTTCTTTCGGTTTTTTGTCGATTTAATTTTATTCAGTTCGGTTTCAGTACATTTTTGGTTTTTTATTTTATTTTATAACACTTGATCATTTTTAAATATGGAAGTTAGAAAAGAGGCTTACATTGGTAGACTAATAATAAGAAAATGGGGAAGGTGGGAAAGTGGGAAGGTAGTTGTACATATACGAGATCATATAAACCAATCCTATGCCATTAACAACCTTCATTGCAAAGAAAAATTGTCACCGTATCTATTCAAAAAGCAAACAAATAGAGAAACTTTTCAAAGTTCCAAAGCCTTCCAAAACTTTCCTCTATAACCATGAAATATTCTCCTTAATTGAACCAAGTATGCTCTTTGAAAAAGCCCTAGACTTAGTTTCAATGACACACCCCGATCTTAGAATCAAGGCGTGCTAGCCGTCATGTGGGCGTGACGTAACCAAAAGTGCGAGGCGGAAGCAATAGATAAGAGAAATACGAATAAACAAAAACCAAATACTAGCAATAATAACCAAGTAACGTGCTAGAGTAAGTTTAAGTGTGAAACACACAAATTCAGAGCATAAGTACTAGGTGCAGTCAAGTAGGACCATAACTAAATTACAACACCCGCAGGTGAGTCCTACATTTATGTAGTCTGTCAGTAAGCTGTGGGAATCCTCGTGGGCCACCAACGCTGCTAACTAGAATCTGGAGGGGCGCAAAACAAAATTGAATGGGTCAATAAAACCAAAGTTTTTCAAAAACATTTCATTTAAAACATTTCTAACCCCTCGCTATAAAACCTGTATACTTTTCCAGAAAATAACATAATATGCATATAATCTTCGTATATCTCAAATCACAATTCTTTATCAAAACCTAGAAAATATGCCATGCCATAAATGTCAATAACAAATTAAGAATGCATCAATATAACAGGTGACATAATGAATCAACCGGAGACCCTGCAGTTGGTCTTGTACGATTAATTCCATAGCTCAATATCCAAACCAACCGGAGTCACCACGGTGACCTGTACGGCACTACTCTGCACATAAGTCGGAACTACCTGAAGTAGTCTGTACGACAAGAATGGTGTAATAATATGCTCTAGTGCTTCTCTCATTAATCATCTGTGCACATAATCTAAGGTCACCTACCAGTCGGAACCACCTCTAGTGATCTGTACGACTAGCATGTCGGAACCCTCTCATGGTCTGTACGACATGCACCTACTTGGATCCAAGGTAAGTGTGCGGTGCGGGTGAATAATATAAGCACTAACACCAGGGGTGCAGGTTATGAGCTCTTAACGCAATTCATATCATCAATAAACCATATGAATAACATAAAACTCACCTAATACTCACCTGTGCGTCCACAACACCATTTCACATATATATGCATCAATTACTAATTCATATAATTCACAATATGCATGCATGGCATTTTAAAAACATACTTTCATTTAAATTCAATTTCTGGGAAAAATCAATAGTATATAGGTAAATACAGAAAATACTGCCCAATCACTAGTAAGTCGAAGGGTCGTAACCCCCGTGACGTCCCTGGATGCGCTCGTCCTCGGGATAGGTATCACCTATATGCAAAACAACTATAAAAACGTTAATTAAAGCACATAACCGACAATTCATAATAACTTCTCATACAGTGCTTACCACAGTGACCTACTCGACGTCACGGACGTCGACATATTTTTAGAAAATTTTTTCGAGGCTGCATGCGCCCCTACGCGCCAGGAAGGGCACGGACCCACGCGCCCCACACGCGTCATCTTCTTCCTCCAGTCGCCGGAAACTGGAGAGTTTTCAATTTCCTTGTTCTCTGTCATTTCTCAACCATTTTCCATGAAATTTTCACCAAAATGTCCTAAATCACGAGGGGAAGAAGGCTATACCTCTTTGGAGCCTCAAAACCTTCGAAAATCACGTCGGGAAACTTCACCAAAACCGGCCACCTTCGAACTAGGGTGTCCCGACGTCCAAAACTTCCAAACGAATGTCCCCGAGCTTCGTGGGAACTTCCTAGAGCTCACTATGAGCTTGGATTGTCCTAAAAACCAACCATTACAAAGTTCATGAATAGTACTCAATTCGGACCTTGAGTTTTCAACGTGAAAACGAAGGGTTTCTTACCTGAAAATGGTACCTTTGAGTTCGTAGGGCACTCACGAACACAATGGTGCTAATCTCCACTTCGATCCATGAAGTTTCAAGGGTTTTTGGGTCGGTCCGTACAATTTCGAGAGGGAGAGAGTGAGAGTGATAGAGAAGGAGGAGAGAGAGAGCACGGGGTGAGAGTATCCCATGTGTGTGTGTGGTCCATCCCAAAACAAGTCCAACTTCTTTCCCTAACCACACAAAACACATACAACTTTTAATCAAAATTCAAACTTTCCAAAACTTAGGGAAAATGCATTGTTCAATAATATGTCACACACCTACCTTAGCACCCGTCAAGGATAATTTCGTCATTTCACAACCTCGATAAAAAGAATCACGGGACGGGCTGTGACAATCCTCCCCCCCTTATAGAATTTCGTCCTCGAAATTCATGCAACCAAACAAGCCCTTAATATTCGTAAAACAACCTCGGATACATCTCTCTCATTCGATCTTCTGTCTCCCAAGTAGCTTCTTCTACTGAGTGGTTCCGCCACAATACTTTTACCAAGCTCACAGTTTTATTCCTTAGAACCTTGTCTTTCCAATCCAAGTTAGTCACTGGTTCCTCATCATACGTCAAATCCGGATTAATCACCAAAGGTTGAAAAGGAATCACATGTGAAGGATCTGAAGCATAATGTCGAAGCATCAAGACATGAAACACATTATGTACTTTAGATAACTCCGGAGGCAACTCCAATCTGTAAGCGACTTCACCTGAACATTTTGAGTAGTCTCATCCACAATCTCTGGGCCTTCTAACACTCTTTTGCCAACCTCTGACCAACACAATGGCGTACGACAAGCTCTACCATAAAGTGCCTCAAATGGTGACATACCAATGCTCGAATGAAAACTATTATTGTAGGCAAATTCCATCAAGTCTAGGCGATCATGCCAAGAATCACCAAACTGTAACACTGAAGATCTTAGCATATCCTCTAACATCTGAATAGTCCTATCTGATTGCCCATCGGTTTGAGGATGATAAGTAGTGCTGTAAAGCAGTTTCGTACCAAGAGCTTCCTGAAAAGCTACCCAAAACTTAGAAGTAAATCTTGGATCTCGATCAGAGATAATATTCACTGGAACTCCATGATACTTCACAATCTTCGTAATGAACAACTTAGCCAATTTATTCAGGGGATACTTTTCCCTCACGGGAATGAAGTGTGCTGACTTGGTAAGTTGATCTACAATCATCCAAACACCATTAAATCCATTTCGTGTACGAGGAAGCTTATACACAAAATCCATAGTTATATTTTCCCATTTCCACTGAGGAACAGGAAGTGGTTGCATCCGCCCAAAAGGCTTTTTTCTTTATGCTTTGACTTGCTGGCAAACAATACACCTACTTACATATTCTGCAATTTCCCTTTTCATACCCGGCCAATAATAAAATGGTCGAATGGTATGGTACATCTTAGTTCCTCCTGGATGCATCGCATAAGCCGAACAATGTGCTTCATCCAAAATTTCCTTTTTTAGTTCCTCATTATTCGGTACGTACATTCTGTTCTCCTGCATAAGCATGCCATCTGATTCTCGAATTCTGAGGTCTTTCTTTTTCCCTTCACTTCTCAATTGAATTATTTCTTGAATTTCTTCATCTACCATCTGAGCTTGAAGTACACGATCAACCAAAACTGGCCTGACTTGGAAACTAGTAAGAAAAGCTTTTCTTTGTTCTTCTAACTCCAACTTTACTCCAGTAGCTCTCAAATATGCAAGAAGAGGAACACGACAAGCATACAAAGCATTGAGTCGACCTTGAGGTTTCCTACTCAGCGCATCAGCTACCACATTTGCACGACCCGGATGATACTCAATAGTGCAGTCATAATCACTTAGTAACTCCATCCACCTTCGCTGAGGAAGATTAAGATCATGCTGAGTGAAAATATACTGGAGACTCTTATGATCTGTGAAGATCTTACACTTCTCACCATAGATATAATGCCTCCAAATTTTCAAAGCAAAGACAATGGCTGCCAACTTAAGATCATGAGTAGGATAATT